ATGTTCAATTTAATGCCAACCATGTCTGAAAATACTCATCTTATCAATCTGAAAACAAAAGTTCTAGTTTTTGTCCAGGAGTTTTTCATTTTCTTTACCTTATTTTTTATCTGGTAGCTAAATTATCACACCTCTTCCTCAGAGAGTACACATTAATTCTCAGCTAGTCTGAACTGTAGCTGGCTTCTAATACACTGAGTTTTTCCTCCTATTGCTTTTAACTTTTGCTTTTTTTCCTTTGTGTTTTTTTTTTTTTTCTTTTTTTCTCTTTCCTTTGATGGGTCAAAGACTCTCTTTAGTTTGACCAATTTGGTTCCTATATGCAAAGGGGGACCCAAGAGCTGAAAGTCATGGTTGCATTTTTGAATTCACCTAAAATCTGTTTTGTATATGTAGTGTCTACTACTAAATATATTACTATTTTCTAAATACATTTACATGTATATATGAATTTTTTACCGAACTTTATGGATGCCGTTGACCCCTCCCTCTATAGCATAGGTCTGCCTCTCCCTATATGAAAATTTATGTTTAGTTTTTTATATAATGACAATGTGAGATTTTTCTAATTTCAAGTAATGTTGAGTGAAATTACTAATCTGCACAATAAGGCAGGTATCTTGTTACACCAGATTAACATATATTGATAATATTAAATTTGTTATGATTTTAGTGTATATATGTTAAATTCGAGAATTTCAGTAAAGTGCCCACCATTGTTTATGGATTACAAACCTGTAGGCTGTGTATAGGTAATATTTGATGCTGATCATGTAGTCAAGGTGGACCTACAAATAGTGTATTTGACAGCTCTAATAGTGTTTCATCTACATCTTGGCACTTAGTACTTATGTTGTTCGGATTCTCAAAATGTCGCGGGTGTGTGTTGGATACTTTAAAAGTTACTCCCTCCGGTTCACAATAAGTGTCCAATTTGCTTTTAGCACGCCCGTTAAGAAAATACTAAATTCTATACAAAAATACCTACTATGACTAAACTACCCCTAATTAAACATTTAATATGAAGAGTAAACTTTTTAGGGATATGTACATAGGGGTTATTTTGTAAAAACAAATTGAATTCTTTCTTGATTACATAACTGGACACTTATTTTGAACCAAAATGAAAAAGCAAATTGGACACTTATTGTGAACCGGAGGGAGTATGTATTTTTGGAAGATTTAATAGCATTTTGGAGAGTCGCGCAACATAGGTTGGTACCTTTATTTTAACCCTACTTGGTACTTCACTGGCTTAGAACTTGCAAACAGACCTGCCTTTTATAATTTCACATTGTCAACATGGTATTTAGAAAATTAACTAGTTAATTAATATTATAGGCAGTAATGCGTCTTAATTTTTTTTTCGTCGTTATTGCGTCTTAATAACTCAATATTTTTAGTCCAAAATTGCCCAGACGTAGGAACAACTTGTTTACCTTTTTCTTGACATGTCACTATCTTGCTCATCCACATAGAGAAATTCAAATGTTTAAAGCTTGTATACGCATGCATCTTGCTCTTCTTTTTTGTTTTTCTGTATTTTACACTTTCTTATGCGAAATTCTTGACTATGTTGCCAGCTGATTTATGATTATTATCTCACTTTCTTTTTTCTTTGACTGGCATGGTTGATTTCTTGCCTATACCCAAAATTCTGGATTTCATCTACAGTTTACTTGGGTAAGTTGTCTCAATTTTTACTTAATTTTTTCCAGTCTTTCAAACACAAATTTTCAAAGTTAACCCCAAGAAATAAATCATTAACATTTGGAATCTATACAATGAATAGGTGGATATGACAAGGAGGACAAGGCAGCAAGAGCTTATGATTTAGCAGCTCTAAAGTATTGGGGTCCAACAGCTACTACCAATTTCCCAGTAATATACTATACACCTTTTTCAATTTTCCTAAATGTTCAATGCATTCATAACTATATAACCATGGAAAAAATTCGAATTTCAACTGACTGATATATTTTCCAGGTTTCGAACTATAACAAAGAATTGGTGGACATGAAGAACATGACCAAACAAGAATTCATTGCCTCCCTGAGAAGGTATACAAATTTTACCTATTACCCCATTATCGTCGTGTTGCTGCTTTATGGTATTGATTATTCTCATATAAATTTCTTCCTTGGATATCAGGAAAAGTAGTGGTTTCTCGAGGGGAGCTTCTATTTATCGGGGTGTGACAAGGTTTGAATCGTCTTGTAATATAATATCTAATCGCGTCCTAGATAGAGTGAGATCAATATTCTTCAAGTTTCATGAGCTGTGTTGACTAACTTTTGCAGGCATCATCAGCAAGGTCGTTGGCAAGCAAGAATTGGCCGCGTTGCTGGGAACAAGGATCTGTATTTAGGAACATTTGGTAAATATAATATCCTTGACTGTAGGGTTACTTGTTTTTCTATCGGAAACAGCCTCTCTACCTTCACAAGGTAGGTGTAAGGTCTGCGTACACATTACCCTCCCCAGACTCCACCTATACTGGGTTTGTTGTTGTTGTTGTTGCTGCAGGGTTACTTGTTTTATTTAAATGATATTTTAATTAACTTGTCTGAATTATTGCAGCTACTGAGGAGGAAGCAGCGGAAGCATATGACATAGCAGCAATAAAATTCAGGGGAGTGAATGCAGTGACAAATTTCGAAATGAACCGATATGATGTCGAGGCCATTATGAAAAGCGCACTCCCTATAGGCGGAGCAGCGAAGCGGTTGAAGATCTCCCTCGAATCAGAGCAGAAACCATCATTGAACAATAACTACCAGCATCAGACTCAATGCAGCAGTAGCATCAATTTCGGGCCAATTAACCCTGTTTCCGCCATCCCTTGTGGAGTACCATACGATGCGAACCAACCCTTTTACCATCACAGCTTCTTCCCCCACCTCCAGTACTCCAACAACGACGGTCCTTCTGATACTTCTGGTACGATGACTAATATGATAGCTGCAATGCCATTACTGCAATCACCGGCCGAGATCTTCATCTGGCCTCATCAGTCCTATTGATCTTGGAAGGCAAGATAAGCTCGGGTAGTAACAACAACAACAATAGACCCAGTGGATTCCCACAAGTGAGGTCTGAGGATAAGTTCGGGTAGCGCAAATTCCTTTAGGCTAATTAAAAATTAACCTCTTTGCCGTCATGTATTCGTTCTAAACTGACCCTATTTCTAACTTGCTAAACTGTTAGCATTGGCTGAAAAAATTCATGAAAAGTTGAAGATGAATAGCTTTTGTTTTTTTACTTAATAGGTAGAAGGTGAAAATATTGTAAAGTATCTTTTCTTCAACAGCTGCAGTAGTAGATGCATGTTGACAGGTACTTAATTAGGGTTTGGGGTACGTAGTGCACTCTTGTGGGAAAATTTTGTTTTTGTTGCTTCCTCATCTTCCCGAGTTGCTCTTAGTACAACATATTATTTTGTTGAATTCTGTGCTGATCAAATTGACAAAAAAAAAAAATATGAAATATAACAGTATCTATATTTTGGAATTGGCCATGTTATTTTTGTTTGTCGCGACAAAATGTTACATTGACTTTTTTCTGCTTGCTTAGGCGAGAGGTACTAAGATGGGTGACCCTTGTTTTTATTAATCAAGAACAAAATGATACATATCTTCTGCTAATTCGTTTATGATTTTTGGCTACAGAATCCTCTCGTCATTAGTTTATTTGTAACAAGTTGTAGTATGAAGTTGTTCTAAATACTGGAAAATGTTGGTCTTTATAAATAAATTTGAGCTTTTGAAATCCAAATCATAATTAACCAATGAGCTTTTGAAATCCAAATCATAATTAACCAAAATCTCGATTTCATTTGGAACCAAAATTCGAAACTAGTCAATTGTTTCCGAATATAATGCAAAAAGGTTTCGGATTTTATGCTTTCATATTTTTTTTTCTTTTTGTTATTTGTGGTGTATTTTCCTCCTTTTATCCCTCAGCTTCAAAAGAAAAAAAAAATAACATATTACTATTTGAGTAGTCAAAACAAGTTTTTCTTGATCATTTTTTTGCAAATAGTTTTTAAACTATTGTGACTTATAGTATTGTTTATGAAGTTTCTAGGGGCATTTCGCGGCAGCACCACTTTTCAAGTCCTTTTAAAAGATTTGAACCCCAAGTTTTAATTCTTTAAAATGTAGATCCCCTTCATGATTAGTGCTAATTAAGCTAGTTTCCATTATAAAATATTCGGAACCAACCCTAAAGTTATAAAAAATACGATTTGGTCCAACGAATAATTACTGAAAATTTTTCAAAAATGA